AAATGGATGTCAGAAGAAACTCTGAAGATTGCACTGGAGCATAGAGAAGCCAAAGCACAAGGAAGAATTCAAGATACTAAAGAGCTGAACAGAAGAGTCCAAAAGGCAGCATGGAATGACAAAGCAAAATATTACAATGAAATGTGCAAGGAGCTAGAGTCGGAAAACCTAAAGGGCCAAACTCATTCAGCATTTCTTAAGTTCAAAGAACTGAAGAACAAATTCAAACCTCGAGTTGCTATAATCAAGGATGGTTTAAGCAGAATATTAAATGATCCAAGAAGTATTAAAAGAAGATGGAAGGAATATACTGAGTGATTGTACCGAAAGGAAATGGCACATACAGAAGAATTTAATGAAATAACATTTGAGCAAGAGCCTATGGTAATGAAGGAAGAAGTCCAAGCTGTTTTGAAGGAAATAGCAAAAAAATAAGGCCCCAGGAATAGATGGTATACCAAATGACATATTTCAGCTAACAGATGTTGCCCTGGACGTGCTCACCAAGTTGTGCCAAGAAATCTGGAGAACGACCACTTGGCCAACTGACTGGAAGAGATCTATGTTTGTTCCTATCCCAAAGAAGGGTGACCCAACTCACTGTGCAAACTATAGAACAGTATCATTGATTTCACATGCAAGCAAGATTCTACTGAAGATTATCCAAGAATGACTGGAACAGCACATAAGCAGAGAACTGCTAGAAGTCCAGGCTGGGTTTAGAAGGGGGCGTGGTAGCTGATGTTAGATGGATCTTAGCTGAAAGCAGGGCATACCAGAAGAATGTCTATCTGTGTTTCATTGATTATGCAAAGGCATTTGACTGTCTGGATCATAACAAACTGTGGCTGACACTGAGAAGAATGGGACTCCCAGAACATTTAATTGTGCTAATGCGAAACCTATATTTGGACCAAGAGGCAGTCGTCAGAACAGAGCAGGGTAGCACCGCATGGTTCAATAATGGGAAAGGTGTACGCCGCCAGGGATGTGTCCTATCTCCATACCTTTTCCACCTGTATGCAGAGCAGATTATATGGGGGGCTGGGATCTATGAGGAGAAGTGTGGCATCAGGATTGGTGGAAAATCTATTAACAATCTGCAGATGACACAACCCTGCTTGCTGAAACTGAGGAGGACCTCATGCACTTG